TTTTTATAAGTCAAGGTAGTTGTAAACCAGATTATAATTTTCATTTCATTGACTGGACTCCAGGTTTGCTAACACCTGACTCTAGTTCCCATTTAATGGAATCAGAAGTTTTGTGTTGCCATTACCTTTTCCACCATCACTTTGCATGTTTAATGGGTGTGCCCAATGAGGACATGAAAGATCATAACTCTTCTAGCAGCTTAGAAATATTGTTTGTTGATTTGTGACTTTAAAAATCAGATCACATTTCATGATCAATTTATGTGGAACACCAGGAAATTGCAAATAGTACTTTCTTGCAACTGCATAACACAATATTGACTCATTAAATGTTCAGCTCTTGCTATAAACATTACATTTCTATCCTTAATTATAAGCTGCACACAAATTTTAACACTACACTGTATTTCAAGGCAATCTGAAGAACAGAACAATCTTGTTATTTTTAAAATGATATTTTAGTGACAGGCCATACAACATTTGTTTTTACAATCCTTTCTTTTTCAGTGTAGTACTGTAATGCCTCAGTCATCACACCTAGTGGTTCTGGTCTTGGTCACAGCTAGATAGAGGTTTTTTTTAAATCAATATAAAGTCATAGTTCTGTTTTAGCAAGACCTCATGTTGTTAAAGCAGCAATGCTTCAAAGAAATTAAGGAACACACATGGCTCAGAAGGTGGAGTATCAGCAAATCTGCTTTTAAATTTTCTTTTTTGTCAGTTGGAAACATGCTATCCCTTTTGTGTCCATCCATACTGCATGTTAACCCTACCCTGGCCTCCCTAGTAGAGTGGAGTCTGTGATCATGCCGACCGTGAAACGAGTCTCGAGAACTCCAGTGTTCTCAATAGTGAAGCTGTGGCTTGTCTTGCAGCCATAGACCAGTGGACCAAAGTTGATGTCATAAGCAGGTATGATCTTGTACCTAAAAAAATAACCACACAAACATAATTTGTGCAATGGCTCAAACTCAGGACTGCCTCCTATGAGCAAATCAATAAAGGCTGCAGGTTGTGAACTTACAAATGACAAGAACAAAAACGTCACAAGCCAAACACACAAGAGGAAGCAAAAGTAAAGTCCATAATCAAAGATGAGGCACGAGAGGTGAGTAAGCGGTCAGAGAAACAAGAGCACAACAAGCACAAGACAAACCAGTAAACCCTACTAAGGAAGGTGAGGTGATTATAAAGGCTGAGTTAACAGGGCAACAAGCAACAGGTGTAGCCAGTGAGTGGCAAGCTGTGGCTGTGTCAAGCTGGGGATGGTGAACCCCGGCTGGAATCCACTCAGGGATGTTGTAAGTATATGAAATGTGTATATATACTACTGCGCTTCTAGGCCACCCCATTTGTGTATAACTCATTAAACCTGAATACTGAGCTACTGTAGGACTAAAACTGATTTCCTTTAAGTAGGGAAAAGCCATTCTGATAAATTCAGCAAAGCAAACATATACTGTGATGTCAAATGGTAGAAAAAGGCAATCATTCAACAGAATCTCATGATAAAGCTTAATGTGATTTGCAAGACAATTTAAATTAGAAGTGACTGTAATATTGCTTCTTATTTACCTACACATATCATATAAAAGACAACCATATGAATCAATGCTTAACCTGGAGAAGACAGACTGGATTGAGACACAGATGCTACCTATGGTTTCCTCTCCCTTCTCAAGGGTGGGATCAATCACCTGCAGAAGAGAAGTTCAGTCAGTCAGTTAGTCTCCTCTCAACCTCCTCACTCAGTTTCATGAACTTTTTTTTAAAATTAAGTCTCACTAAGCTAATTCAGGTTCAGTTCAAGAGAAAACTTAAAATCTTAAAGAATTCAAGATGTATTTGCTTTTGAAATAAACGTAAAAAGATGAAAGTACATTTTTGGGAGAGTATATTTGATGTACATATAAACTGGTTTTAGTCATTTTATTGTTTTGTTTTTGAACTTTTTTTTCATTTTGCTATTATTTAACTGTTTACAGTTGATATCTAGACATGAGTCACGGGGAAGAGTGGGGTGGGGTGTGGGGGGAACGTGCATGCAACTACCCCGGCTGGAATCCACTCACCGATGTTGTAACTATATGAATTGTGTATTATACTTCTGCGCTACTAGGACACCCCATTTGTGTATCACTCATTAAACCTGAACACTGAGCTACTGTAGGACTAAAATTAATTTCCTTTAAGTAGGGAAAAGCACTTTGTCAGGCACACCTCTTATCATGAAGCAAAATTAAAATCTAATTAAGAAATTATGCACCAAAAATGTTCTATAAAGGTTAGAAAACCCATTCTACTTTGAGTTGAATATATAGTTAAACATCCAGCTCTGTGAACAATATGGTTCAGACCTGGCAAGACAGGATAGGCTGCTCTGTAATTAGGACTTCTGTATTGGGTCTGCAGATGATCTGCACTGTTGTGTACTTGTCATTGGGCATTAGAGTTCCACACTGGGGGGGGGGCAGTGAAAATGGACTCTAGGTCTGGCTGAGCTGGGTCTGTCCGCTCAAGTGTAAACCTTGTGAAAAGAAAAGAATAAAAGTGAAAAACGGTCTCAATGTGAAAAAAAAATTCAATTCATGAACTGAGATTGAAAACTTAAATAATGAATCATCACATATGCTGTTTTCATATTTTAATATGGTACAATCACTTATAGGGTGTTGCATATTTTCCTGGGTTTGTCAGCTTGAGAGACAGTTTGGTCTCTTCAAAGACTCTGATGGTTCCAAAGTCCAGACAGCCATCTGCTACAGAAACAAGAGGAAAGCATACTAGTAGAAGATAGTATAGAATATACAGTATGTTCCAGGGCAGCAGCTCAGTCACTCAGTGGTGAACGCTGTCACATTACATGAAAAAACACTGGGAAAACATCAGTCAGAATGTGAGATGTTCCTGTTTCTACCTGGTAAAATGTTCAGAGCTGGATCATAGGCTTCAGCTGTGACCTGTATGTTTTCAGTCTGTACGACGCCGAGGAATCTTCTCCACATCTGACACCTGAAACACAGCGCGTATTATACATACATAAAAGCAGATTGTGAAATACATTACATGCATTTCTATAACCCAGTTTTTTTAATAACCCTTGACAAAGCAACAATATGTAACTTGGCATTTGTCTCCCCCTACAGTTACTAAGTGTAAATGAGTTGTACCCAGCTGTTGTAAATACTAGTTGCACCTTCACTTCTCCTCATGAACAGCGGCACATGCGCATTTGTTTGTAAGGCAAAGCTGTTACTGAACCATGAAAGACAATGAAATAATTGTGAAGTAACATTACAGGATTTATTATGTATTTGTTGTGACATCAAAGATGAACGATCATAACAAAGAATAACAAAAAATGGTAGTTTTGTTTTCGTTTTACTGAAATGCTGCTTGTGTTTTCAGATAGTTTTCTAAGCATTTGAGAATCTGTGTAATGGAATAAAACGTTGTTGATGACATGATATAGGCTCATATTGCACATAACATACATTAGGCGCTGCAATTAATTACACGCTAACTGAGATGGATTTGTTGGTCTGCTGCTTCAAAGGTTTATTTGGTATGACAGTGACAACGACTGACCAAAGATTCTGGTGTGAGAACAATTTAATTATTTGGGGACTGAGGTAGAAGAGGTTTTAAAAAACTACAAATCTCTGTGACACAGGATAACATTGACAGGGTTACAGCCTACGTTGAGGTATTTCATAAATAACATTAGCAGAGATGTGGTGGTGGTGTTGTTTTCATGTTAGCAGATCTCTACAGCTAACATTTAGCTCTCACCAGTAAGTACAATCCAGTCTGATATTTACTCTTTACTCTGGTCTGGTCTCGTGCGCTCTCTTTTTCTCTTCTTGGCTGTGGCTGGTCTCTGGTGATGCTGTAGTTCTGAGTGTGTTGTGTGTTTTTAAAAAACTTTTTTTTTTTATTCTTTGACTGGTCAGGTCATAGCCATATAAACAAATTTCTATGGGACAGATGTCTTCTGACTATATGCCGTACTACATACTGATACGTATGTGCTTTAGTTCATGTACTGCTCCATAGCCTGTTCAGAATCGCAGTAGGTGAATGTAGAAAGTCAGTAAGTCCAAACTTTAAATCTAAACTCCTGAGGCCAGGAGGACGCAGTAATACGCTGATGGCTTACTCTGTTCTGAAGAAAATGTAACTGTCTACTAAGGAGGGTTATCTTGGTCTACTCGCAGGTCCTCACGGAAAACATCAGAGCAAATTTCCAAAGTGGCATTCCTTAGATAGACTGATACTTTCTCGCCTGAAAAGAATCTAATTTCACTAAAGGCCCAGGGATTTCTCTCTGCATGTAAGAATACTGAGCTAGTGAAAGGATCTGGTACTTTAAAACAAAATGCAGCTATCACGTCAGGTATCTGGGATAGTGAGCCAAAGTAACATATTGCAATAACAGATGATCTGGACATGCAGTGGCAATAGCAGAGAAGGCATTCACCTTCTTAGATGTCAGTCTACCATCAAAATGATTTTGAAGCTATTATTTTAATGTAAAAAGGTTGCATATTGTTGCTTCATAGGCACTTTAAAGTTGTATTTCTTTCTAAAAGTTCTAATGGCATGTCGTGTTCATACTCCATATTCATCACTAATTTCTCTGTGTTCTTATACTGTGCAGCTCACCTCCAGACGTAAGCTCTTCTTGGAGTGGAATTGCCTCGTGGCCCTGAATTCTACCCTCAGGGAGGAGGAGGAGGAGTTAGGTGAGATGATACCCTGATCCTGTGGTACATTGAACACATCACCCAACTCATCCACACCCTGCAGTCTCCATGATACTGGTAGAGCTGTCTTATTACGCAATGTTACACTACGGCTGGCCCGCCTATAGAAAGGGTGATGAGGGGTTAATCAGAGAAACAAAAGAATTCAAAAATGATCACTGTTATTGCTGTAATTTATCATGGTACTTCTTTCTTTGCAGGCATTCACTGTGCTTTATGAGCTATTGTGAAAATGCACTCAAGAATTTGTCTTTCCTGTATTAGTACCTGTGTACCAGAACCTTGTCAAACTGCAAATGCTTGCTTTCCAGCTCCAATTCTGGCCGAACTCCCCAGCAGGAGAGGCTGATGATGACAAGCTCTGGATTGTTCTTGATACAGCACACTACACTGTCCATCACTTGTCCCATTTTTGTTGGGTAGGCCCACACTGTCAGCTCCTAACAGGCCAAAAGAACACTC